CATTATTTAAACAGCAGTGGGACAATTGTATTTGAATCACTCATTTCATTTGCTATGTGCAGTATGTGAGCTGTTTAATTATTAAACGTTAATGTCTTTGTGTCATGTACTTGATATTTGTTGTTTGTCTCCCTCAAGGCCACAGGAGCTGCTCTGGATCCGTCCAAAGTCTGTCCACACTGGAGCCCAACAACACTTCAAAGCCCACCGAGCACCCGGACCTCCCCCCAAAACTAGTGATGCGCTGCAGGCTGGACACCTCAGTCGGCAACGGCTACCAGAGACCTGGCTCAGTGTAATGGATTTCAAAGAGCTTATCATTGTGCTTATTTAACCTACTATTCCTTACGAATTATGATATCCACTCCAGTGTAATGCCGTTGGTAAAAATCTTATCTTGTGGACTCACCTAAAACCAGTGCTGCAGCTAGTTGAAAAAAACGATTTGCCTATTGGCACAATACGGAAAGATATTCTGATGATTGGTTAACAGTTGCTATTTAGGTTGCAACCAACAATTATGTTCCTTGTTTACTTCCTAGATAAATCGTTTAGATTATAAAAAGTCACAAAATAGTGAACAATATAAATCTCCACTATCTTAAAGTCCAAGGGGGTGTCTTTAAATATCTTGTTTTGTCAGTCCAAAAGATAAAGATATTCAGTTTAATATGATATACAAAAAAATCAGAATATCTCCAAATGTGAAATTGTTCAAAACAACATTTTTGGTAATTTTTGCCAAAGAAATGACTACTATTTGCTGCAGCTTATCCATAAAGCAAAAAGGCCAAAACGTTATGTTCCCAAGCTCTCAATGTGATGAAATTCTGCTTTTTCTTTGATTCATATCATTCTAAATCTAATAAATGAAGTGTTTGACTGTTGGTCGGAGAAAACAAGGGATTTAAAGCAGTTCTCCTGGCTCTAGTCGAATGTAAGTGTTAGTCTTTCCCCACTTCCTGGGCAGTAGTGGACAAAATGATTAATTGATTATTAAAAAAACAAAATAACAAAAAATAGTCCTTAGTTGCCGACCGCTGATTTAATGGATACATTGTAAGGTCTGTTTGTACGTGTGCAGTTTCCTGTGCCCCCACAAAGTAACTGCTAGTCAATAAGACATGAGGACAATAGTTCAGCAACATTTCTCTCCATCTTCCTCCCCCTTTCCATGTCTCCCCTGTGAGTCATCAGCCTCCTTCTCCTCCGTGTGTTTATGAGCATCGAGCATAGAGAGGTCTCTGAGATCAGATGAGCATGTGAGAGCAGATTTATGTCTTTCCTCTGTGGTGGGAGCGCTGCCTTTAATTACGCTCTGCCTGCTCCTGGGTTGATGTGACCCAGCAGCAGTCTGCACTCGTTCTCCCGGAACAAATAGATTGCTTGCCTTGCGCAGTCTGAAAAGCCAGTCACGCAGTCTCTCTAATCATTTCCTTGCGTCGCACCGTCCCAGCTGGCCCCGGGCTACATTGTCCCCTTGACTGCCAGGTTGTTGTGAGCGGGGTCAAGTGCAGCCTTGTTATTTAGTTGAACTCAATCCAGCACTGTGTTGCCCGGAGGAAGGAAACCTCCTATATTGTGTCATTAAGCATTTTACCACGTTCTAAACAATGAGAAACGCTGGAAAGTGGAAAGACTCGTATTAGATTGAATTTCTCTCTGGTGGCAGCTTTGCTGATTTTATAGTCATGATTTATTAAAAACGGATTATTACTCTGATCATGTGATTACAGGCAGTGGTGGAAGAAGTACTTTACTTCAGTGAAAGTAGAAATACTTTGGTCGGAAAATACTTCATCACTAGTGAAAGTCCTGATTTCAAAATGTTACTTAAGTAGAAGTATAGAAGTATTGCCAGCTAAATGTACCTTTAAGTACCAAAGTTAAAGTACTCATTATGCACTATGGCTGTTTTGAAAGTATTATAATATTATAGAATATTAAATGATCCCTTCTTTTAATTGCTTACAAATACATATTAAGACCATTTCCGATTTTGTATATATATACTGGTGTTAACGTACTGCATTATATCATATACAAAAGTCATATGTTGTATATTTAAACAGCAGCTGGAAACTATTAGTTTTAAATAAATGCAGTGGGGTAAAATAAATGTTCCAAAATGTAAGGGAGTAAAAGTATAAAGTAGCATTAAATGGAAGTACAAGTATGACAAAATAGTACTTAAGTACAGTATTTAGTTACTTCCCACCACTGATTACATGGCATATTTATCTCTGGATATCATTTCAGCTGTTTACTTTATCCAAAATACAGTGGAATGGACTGAACTTGTTTTTCTTCTGGTTTCAGGGTGGCTGCCAGAGCTCTGCTGTTTGAAAATGCCTCTTCCCCACAGTCTGTTCCAGTGGGAAGGTGCAGTAAAACCATCACATTTTCTCTAACAGCTCAACCAAATGAATCACACTGCCATCACGTCAAATGTGCCATTTCATTGCCTTGTTTTGTCGTCTTTACAGGGACGCCAAGGCGATGTATTCCTGTGAGGCAGAGCACAGCCACGAGCTCAGCTTCCCCCAGGGGGCGCACTTCTCAAACGGTAAGCGCTGCCATTAAGGGGCAAACATGAAATGCTTCAGCTGACAGAAGGGCTTACAGCGTCCTTGCATAGGCTGATATGACACTTGGACAGTGTAAACACACACAGACTGTTGTCTGCTAGCAACACACAGCACAGGCTTGGCAAATTCCCAGTGTTATGTGGAGGCACACAATCACTTTGTCCTAATGTTAAACCCTTATCTGCATCGCTTCAGTATAAACAGCCTGAATGTTTTTTGTATTGCTTCTTGCCTTTTCCATGATGAGATGACTTGGCCCACAACCAGTGCAGCAGGTCACTGTAACCTCGTGATGGAAGGCACCAGCGCCTGTTCTTGTTCGCAGAGCCAGCAGCCAAACGCACAAACGTCAGCAAATACTCCCCTCCACTTACCAGCAGACAGAGTGCTTTTACTGCTCACCACATCAACAGGCCAGGTTTCTCTACACTCTTATAGAGTATATCCCTGCTTGATTATTCAAGCAGATCCATTTTTTATAAATGTTGCTGCATCTGAGCAATGACTAACCTTGTTGTGTTTTATGGCTATGTGTGATTAAGCAAGGAGATTCTGCCTTCAAGTGTGCTAAAATACTCCGCAGGGACTGAATCTAAAGAGCAGTCTGACCCTGAGTCGTCACACTCTGATTTCAATGTTTATTTTTTATGCCTAATAGCATTTTTCCCCAAGACTAGGAAATTGTGAAACCAAATACAGAATGTCAAAAGACTATTTCTTGCTTCCCTTTGCTTTAACTCTTTTCTTTCTTTTTGTCCTGTAGTGTATGCCTCTATTGAACCAGGCTGGCTCCAAGCAACATACGAGGGGAGAACAGGATTAATCCCTGAGAATTATGTCGTCTTCTTCTAACAAAGTCGGTAAACATGGCATCTTTTTCATGGTATCCATGAAAAACACAACACACAAAGTGGCAGATTTTTTTTTAATGTTGCTAATATTGCTGGTACTGACATTTCTGCATGTCATGCAGTCCAAGCAGATATCAAGCCAGGCAGTTCTTTAACATTTCAAACATGTACCTCTTGTTACTGTAATAACTTTATTGTGAAATGATTGGGGAATCCACAGAGATTCAGAAGTTAAGAAGAAATTGACATTATTGTAAGATGAAAATATATTACCCATCGACTGCACTGATGTTTTTAGTCCCAGTATTATCCAACAGAATCACAAAACAATCACGACTAATTTCACAAGTTTTATTCTCAGAAATATATGATATTTTACTTTGTCATTTATATCGACAGAACACTTTCTTTTAATCAAGCTTTTAATGGAAATCTGTAGTTTATTAAACATTTTCTGATAGCTGTAATTAAACAAACTGTGATTGAAAGTAATTATACAAATCTAATCTATTAGAGTCTAATAGAAAAAGCATTATGGGTTGCACCTTAACTGTCATGTTTATTGCCTGTGATCATTGTTCATCCACTGAACCTGCTCACTGCTGCAGTGCACTTTCTGTTAGCCACACGGTACTGTACTGTACATTAATGCTCATGAGCTCTTTAGTAACTTCTAACCAATAATATGTACTTTGTGTTTTTCTTACTATAAGTTACCACATCAAATATATATGCCGTATGTAAAAATGTGTTTTTTATAAAGTCATGAAGGTGGAGCTTTTAGCTTTAATGCCTTAATGTAGTACTGCTTACTGGTACGCTGGTGTACTAGTAATGACAACTAGACATGTATCAGATTATAATATGTTACAGATACCATTTAATATTGAATGTTCTATTACTGTCACAACCATTTCAAAGTCCATAATTATCAAAGCTTCTGTGATACTTTGTCTGAAAGAAGAAGATAAAAGAAAATATAGACAACATAAACTGAAAAAGGACACCAAAGTCAGACCCCTGTGGTGACCGTAATGGTTTTTTTTGAGATCCCATGCTTGCCAAGATCAGGATGTTCTTTTCCATTGTCAATTTCAAGAATGTGAGGTGGCCTTGAACGTTCATGCTGGAATAATACTCCCTTACAGTCTGAATTTGCAGGGGAAATTATTTCCATATCCTAAATATGTGACACCCGTATGGCAAGCTTGTTTCCTTGCAATCATCTACTGTTCTTGACGGTGCATAAACATGTCTTTAAATAAACAGCGTGATTTATTCAAACTGTTGTCAACTTCTTTGTCACAGTTAACTTCTCACTGCAGCCAGAAAACCTTAATTACAACATGTTCAACAGGATGAATAGTGAGAATGGATTGTTAGTGTGTCGACTGTTGGAGGCACACTAACACTTGTGTCTTTATGCACCAACTATAGGGGGATGTTTTTCAATTGAAAGAGCTACAACTAGACTAGCGTATGTCCTAGTATGAAATACTTTCATTCCTATCCAAAGCTATATCAAAATGTGTTTGCATTTCTATTATCCCCGCCAGGGAAGTTAGATTCAACATTTATTTTTCATTTTTTGTTAACTACAGCTCCAAAACAAACGTCAGTATTTAGTTTAGAGTAAGAGCATGTGCCAAGGAGACAGTGACCAGTTGTTTTTATGCTGAGTCAGAAAAGTATTTCATTGTGAAATTGTGAATTGAATGTGTTAACGTACTGCAATCATTTCAAATGTGGCACACTTCTCCAATTGTCTGAATGTCTTTAATGTAGACATTTTTAGAATAAGTAACTGTATGAAAATAACACACTAAGGGCAAAAAGCCTTTGCGAAAATGTCCTCGTTATTTTTAACCCACTCAAGATCACATTAAGTATATTATTTCTTATCAAATATTTTACTGATAGTTAACTTCCATGTTCTCCTCCCCTGAACATTGAATTGTAAACTTGTTGTTATTATTTTGTTTCTCTTTTGCAGCTTCAGTACAAACATCAATATCTCTAATGGTTCTCAAAACCATTCATGCCTCTGAATTCATATTTTTCAAATAGATTATATTAAATGTACTTAAAAACATGTGGAAAGAACTCTGTTGCCCTTATAAAGTAAAAAGGCTGAAGTACTGACTGTCTTGAATAATGAAGGCTACAAAGAATTCAGTAATCGTGGGATGAATAACCCCCTCACAAGATGTCTCCGCAGATTTGCGACGTGTTTGCTGGCATCTTCACTTGGAGTGGAAGGTGAGGGGCCTCACCATGCCTGCCAGGACCTTGGGAAGCTGGGAGGCGATCACCTCCGTCATCATCTCTGGAAACTCCACTTTCATGGCGTCCGCCTGGATGAAGGTGCTCAGACAGAACAGGTTGACCTTTTTCACTATCTGTCAGGAGAGAGACATGCATGTTTGTCTTGGTGCTCATTAGAACAGCAGTTAGATAAAGACATGAATCAATGCTCAGATATGTAGAGGGCTTACATCATGCATGGCGTCCATCAGCTTGGTGAGGTGGTAGAACCTCTGGGAGCTGGCCACCAGGCCCTTCTCCCTCAAGTGTATCGCCTTCGTCAGCTCCCGGATGTAGTTCTGTCTCATGTCTTCAAACACTGCATGGCTTTTGAGTCCCTCCAGAGGCACTGAGAACAGACGGGAATATAAATATCTCTAAAACAGATGTTTCCTAAGGGGGAGCAGTCCGTTGCAGGGTAGGCCAAGGGAATGGAAATCAAACACAATGTCTTTAGTTGTTTGAAGATCAAAATATAATAGCATAAATGTGTGTTTTTTGGTTTCCACTTTCCCAGTCAGAAACTAATAAATGCTTTAGGACAGACGTGTTTTATGTACTTACTCTAAAACACATGTTAAACTATCGTAATGGGTTATTTCTGCTCAATTCCTGCATTTTTCCAAGCCTTGACTTGTTTTTCAGTGAAAAACTAGGTTTTGTTAGCAGCTGCTACATAAATCTATTCAAGGTCCACTCCCCCCGTACAACACTCCCTTTATTGTGCGGCTCATGATCATCGAAGCTTCACATCTCTTACAACATTGTATTCTGAGTAAAGTCAAACAAGAAGGTCAACATGAGGGTACAAAGTGAGTCATCTGATGCAGGAAGTGTTGTTGCTTTTACCTGTGTTGAGTAATATTATGGCTTTCATGCAGAGAAACTCCTCGCGGCTAACTTGAAGGTTTGCAAACTCCTGAGGGATGAACTGTATCGCCAGGCACAGCTCGTCAATCGGAGATCTCCTCATTTGCTCCCTGACAGACAAAAAAACCCGAACCATCAAGAGCCTATTTTTCATCCAAAATAATTAAAGTTTGGGAAACAAATGTGTTTAATGATAGTTACTTACTGACTGAGAACCAGATCAGGTGCAAAGTATAAATATTCACTGGTGACATTCTGATAGGAGCGCCACCCAAGAGAGAACACCATCAGGTTCACCCACGAGTACTGGATGAGGGTCATCTGATCCGTGATGTGAAGATTACGAAACCCTTTGAAGAAAAAAGAAATTCAATATTCATTTATTTTCCCACAGTACATGCCACCATTTCATTTGTATTTGTTCCGCTCATGGTACCCAAAACCTAATGTACAATAATGGCCAACAAAACACGTCTCTACAAACACACCATTGAGCGAAAAGGAGCAGGGAGAAGAAAAAAATCTTATATTACCTGCCCCTTTCTAAAAAAAAAATAGAAATAGATGGTCTGTCCTTCCTTTTTCACAGCAACAACAAAAAACAACAACACCAAAACATCACATGTATAAGGAAAAGGAAAAGTGCAAAACACCCTCATCTGAGTCCTACTGGAGAAGAAGGTGGAAAGCGGCGCATAATTATTATTATAATAATAATAACAATATCAATAACAATGGGACCTGCAAATAAAGAACAGACATCACATCAAAGACATCAACAATATTTACCAATGCAGGACCAGAGTACATTCTGTAGACTTATTCACATCCTGCTTCATATTTCCCATTTTTCTTAATTTATACAACTTCTTTAACTGAAAAATACATATACAATTCTTCAGATCCTTCTGTTGAGAATTCCACAATTTTACACCAACCACCGAAATACACATTTGCTTTAGAATAGTCCTTGCATATGGATGCTTAAAATTTAATTTCCTTCTGTGGTCTTCCTTGTCTGATCCAAAAACAAACAACTGTTGTAAATATGCTGGTAACATTCTGCTTGTTGCCCTGTGCATTACTGATAATGTCTGCAGCTCAGCTATGTCTTTGAGTTTCAAGAGTCCTGACTTAAAGAAACAGTCTGTTGGTGTGTTCCCTTGAGTCAGCTTTATGAATTATTCGTACTGCCCTTTTCTGTAATATTGACAAAGGCTTTATGTTGGTCATATACGTGTTGCCCCAAACTTCTATACAATAAATATAAAATCTCAAAATAAGTGAACAGTACAACATTCTCAATCCCTTGTAATCTAGCAAATACTTTGCCTTATTTAAAACAGAAATATTCTGTATATAATATGTGCTATGTGTGATTTCCATGTCAGGTTATCATCCAGTGTCACACCTACACATTGAAATTCAGAAAACCTTTCAATAAAAACTCCATCAATGGACAGTGAAATGTTTTCATCTTTTTTTCTATTAGCAAAAACCATAAACTTCGTTTTATTCAAATCTAGGGTTAACTTATTTTCATCAAACCATCTTTTAAGTTTGACTATTTCATGTCCAATACACTTTGCTAAAATGTTTAAATCATCTCCTGAATTGGTGTCATCTGCAAACAACACAAATTGCAATAATGTTGACGTTTCACATTTGTCATTGATGTACAAAATAAAAAGTGTAGGCCCTAAAACCGAGCCCTGTGGGACACCACATTCTATATTCATACACTCCGATGTACTACCAGCAAATTGTACATATTGTTGTCTGTTATCTAAATAACTTTTTAACCAATCTAGAACTACTCCTCTCCGTATCTATGTAATTTCGAAATTAATAGGTAATGGTCTATGGTGTCAAATGCCTTCTTTGAGTCAATAAATACACCTATTGTTTATTTCTTTCTTTCTATAGCTGTTGTAATTTCTTCTGTTATTTTCATTAAAGCTAAAGCTGTAGATCGATTTTTCCTAAATCCATACTGACTCTCACTCAATAACTCTTTTTTTTCAATAAAATTATCAAATTTTTGGACAAACAATTTCTCAAGGACCTTGGAAAATTGTGAAAGCAAGAACACTGGTCTGTAGTTGGTAATTGGCTTTTGTCCCCTGTTTTAAAAAGTGGGATAACTTTAGCTTTTTTCATGCTATCTGGGAAAATATCTGTCTGAAATGAAAGATTAAAGATGTAGCTTAGCGGTTTAATTATGCAGTCAATAGTCATTTTCACTATTGTCATGTCGATCCCATCACTATCTGTCGAAGTCTTATTTTTGCATTTGTCTACAACGGATCTAATTTCATAACAAAGCATCAGTGCGCTCCTGATAGGGGTATTGTGATAAACTGGCATTGAAGATAACCTAGATAAAAAAATGCAAATATTGATATTATATCAGGAAAACAGTCTTGATAATCTTTTGTAAATATTACACATCTTAAAATTGTTGTTTTGCTGCTCTCCTTTTGTCTCCCCCAATTCCCCACACACAAATTAGTAAATGTTTTTTCCAAAAGCGAGACATAAGGAAAAAAATCACAGTTTCTGAATTGAACAGAAAGCATTACAGTATTTTATTCCTAAAGACATCCCAATAATAGCCTTTTTGTGACTGCTTTTGACCAAGATAATTGTTAAGTGAAAATCTAACAGCCCTAAATCATACCCAATGGTGATCTACTTTGGTTTTTTAACACAATTTATATCCACTTACAGCCCCTGTGCAAAGCCTTCTAACTCTGTCGGTGGTTAAGGCTGTGAGACCTTCGGCGTGGGCTGCCAGTGCATCCCCATGGCGACCACAGTGGTGACCCTGAGCTGCAGAGAGACGTTACCTGGGAGGGACTTGGACCACTTGACGATCCACACCAGCTGTTTCTCACACAGCCTGTTGAGGCTGTTGAGCAGAATGTGGGGCCCGTCGGTCTGGGCGCTGTCGAATCCGGAGTACATGATCTCTGGTTCGATGTTTTCCAGGATACTGAGGATCTGTTGGGAGAGCTGCTCCTCGCGGATGCCTGGTATGCACGACATGGAGGTCAAGGCGTGATTTTCGTTGGATACGGCAAAGTGTGACTGGAACATCAGGGACGGGGCCAAACTGAAGGCTTTCAAGGCCCCGAAACGCTTCAGCTTCCTGCCTGTGACAGAAGTGCAAGGCCTGGTTAGATTTAGGGACAAAGAGCACAAGTTGTGCCCATACAACACCAGAGAGCTTTTCCATGCCAAGTTAATTCATCAATCTTAACATCCTTTTTGATGCTAACCATGAATTCTGAATTACTGTTACATAATCAGTTTCATATCTGGGAAAATAAATCCAACCACTCGTTACCTCCTAGCATCATTCCCGCTTGATAGCACTTCCGGAGGCGACATGCAGGGCAATTTTTCCTCCGAATTTTGTCCACAATGCAGTCGTTTCGCCCAGCGCAGAGATAGCTGTGATGACCTGTTGAGTGAAAGGATACAGACAAGAACACAATTGTATGAGGACTTGATCTTAAAATAAGCAGCGAGGGGTAGAGGCATAATGAGGGGAGGAAAGGTGTTGAAGTGCTCTTGACTATTAACATGGCTACTCCATCCACACGGAATCAATGTTCTGAGGAGAGATCTAAAGAAGAAAATAAGATAGAGGCAAGGCTGTGAGGACAGAGTGACACGGCCATGGTGAGACATAGTGGCTCTTATGTATCTCGTGTTGCAAGATAACAAGAAAAACAAGTCCAAGCAAGGAACACGGTGAACACATAGTCAATGTGATACTGTTGCTAATTACCTAAAAAACTGCCATAGAAGGTCAGTAAAAATTGATGTGGTAACTCCCTATCATTATCATTTACTGGAGACAGCACACATCACAGATGTTTTTTATTAAATGTTTTATCTTGGATTTGTTTCCACAAGGAACTCGATCTGATCAACAGTTGGCATGGTGAACACATTTTTATTTGCAGGAACCATACAAATCAAGTTGTATTATACAACATGTATTATGTAATATCAACAATGTAACACTTTGTACTGTTAGTACTAACAGTACAAAGGCTGGGGGAAAAAAATCTGCTGTAGAGCTGATCCAGCTCTACAGGATTGATGGAATATGTGAACAAAAGGAGATGAAAACAGATTTGTGGTTGAAATTATTAGAATTTTGAACATAAAATCTCCTGAAGTAGTTACAAAAAAAATGCTCTGCTCACCTTCAACTGCTCTTTTAAAAAATACTTTACAGCTCCCGCAGGTTAAGACTCCATAGTGGCAACCAGACGCCTCATCCGCACAGATCACACACTGTCTCTGAGGTGGTCTTCTGAAATAAGGAAGAAATGCATACATTAATGAACTCACATGAACTAAATTTATATACAAATTGCAAAAATTACCATTCTGTTTTTGAGCAGAACAACTTAATTTTATCTCCATTTAAACATTTGGGTAAAATGTACAATATATTGTAATGAAGTCACATAAAGGGTTAAATCATCTGAGCCAACCCTAATTCATTTAAAGGCAATAACTACATGTTGTTTTAATTAGACATTCACACTTGCCTTAATGGATGGTTTGTTTAACCCTTGAGGGTATTTTAAGCTAATTAAAGAGTCCTCTTTGTATATTTGCAAAGTAAGGTATAAGATGTAAGGACCAATTGTGTAGGCCTATATATAGAGGTGGGTAAAAAGAAAAAGATGGTTTAAAAAAAATGTCTATCTCAAAGTAAAAATAACTAAAATTCGACCGAATAGGATTAGATATTTTCATTTACTTTTACTTGTTTTTAAAACGATTGAAACCTTTTCATGATATGTTAGATTCGTTTTAGAAATGAAGAGTTTTAGAGTTGTTTTATTCCACTTTCTCTGCCACGGCAATGGCCGTGTAAACATGTAATTGTGCTGTGGAAAAACCCATCCCCCATCATGTCCTATAATTGGATTCTTTAATGATCATCAAATGATGTGCATATAGGCCTAATTTGTCAAAGCTATTGCAAAACTGTCCATGCTCCATTATCAAGTTAAAAAAGCAGAATGTATTTTTTTTGCAGTATTGTTGTTGAAAAAACTATTTCTACATCACTTGAACTATCACCTAACCATTATGCAAACTTATTTTTAACATTCATGGTTGACTCAGATTTTTCTTTTTGTTAACGGTCAGGTGGTAGGCCTACTTAGTTTTTCTATCTAGCCTAAGTCAAGTTGAGTGTTTTGTAGTAATTACCCGGGGTACGCGGAATATGGTGATGGGTTCCTTCGAATCATGGCCTGGTTCTGGATCCCCTCATAGCCGTTTTGTGTGAACTGGTCATCGTTCATCCCCACGGACTGGCACCAGTACTGGGTCTCAGGCGGAGACGGCTGCATCTGCCAATGGGGAACTTCGCTCTTGTACATGGTCAGTGGCTGCTGGGCTGCGTGCGTAATGGCATCAAAGTTTCCAACAGCCTTCCCGGACACACCGCACCTGGAGTCGGCCCTCACCTGGATGTGCGCCGGAAGCTGATCTGGCTGGTTCAGGTCCATCAGGAAGTTTGGAGACCCCTCCAGCCTCGGCCTCGCTGCAGCCGGGGAGAAGCTCGCGGACTCCCCGTCACTGAGCCTCAGCTGCTGCTTCCTGTCGGCGTCACAGCAGGTGTCCAGATCAGGAATCTCCGGTGATGTGTCGAAGTTGGGAATGGGGCTGTTCATAATCACAGAAGGCTCTTTTTCATCTTTGATGAATTTAAATGCTCCTGTTGATGTAGAGAAGCTTACATTTGCGCCTGGTAAAGTTTCCGTTGTGGCCACATGTGTCCTCTGAACGTCCCACTGCACAGTGTCACACTTCCGATAGTCACTGCTACGGTCATAAAAATGTTTTCCCGCAAGTGAACCATCAAGTAATGGAAATGGAAAGGAATCAGCCATCGTAGTGATGGTGCTCATTCTTCCGTGTGTGTTATTGTCCATGTTCTGATCCTGGGAGCGCGCAGCAGAGACTGGAGTGCCCGGAGGTTGGATGATGTGTGATGAAAAGCTGCTTCTCTCCTGTAATCCTCCTCCCCGTCGAAAAAGGCTCTGGCCACGTCTTTTTCTCACATGGGAGCCTATTCCATGCAATTTAACTACGCTTCAGAAACAGATAAGAAAACCAACTCTTATCCTTTTGATGATGAGGGATCAGCAGAGAGATTGTAAACCTTTACATTAATTGAACCCATATTTAAGTCAATTTCAAATATAATTCATTGTTCTGGTTTAAGGTGTCATGTTTCAAAGCTGAATATACGTGTCCTTTAAATAGATCTCCAATAGCCTTCCTCACAATTAAATAGTTATTCCTTCAAAGGATGCCAGAGGAAGAGTCAATGCCTCAGAGTTGTTGGAGATGTATTCAGTTACACAACCCTTACAGCCGACCTAAAGTAATAGCCAGCCAATGAGAATGGATCACTTCAATGCCAAGGGCCAACAGTCTCCACCCCACTGTTCATGGATAAGGTATACGCTAGGATATTGTTGGCCAAATAAGAAACTATTGAGACTGGGTGCCTTCCGAAGAGGAGAGAATGGCTCTTTTAAATAAGTTAAAACCCTCAAAATGTCCCTCATAATCATCCTTTGAAAGTCAAGACCCAGATATATGTTGTCCATTTTAATAGGTTATGTAGATCTCTTAATTTTTAGGTAATGTTGGCAGGTGAACAGGTTGGAGAATAGTAACACAAAATCACTACATCAGATTTTGGTTTAAAGTTGTATTTACCACTTTGGTACATCTTCCAATCTCAGTGACAGAACTATTAAAGTAAATTATTGAGGGTTAGAAAAAAAGTCTGTAATGAATTCAATACAACAGCTTTATGCTACAACTAATAATTCTACAAAATATAAAACATATCTAAAAGGAAAATATTAATAAATCAGCGGTTAAACTGTCAATTCAGGTTACTTTTTCCATTTCCAGTTAATGGTTTGACATTTAAACTCTTGCATCATTAATACAATGCTTTTAATATGTTTTTGTATAATTATTAATGTAGGCCACATTATTTTTCTTAGTTGTGATTTAATTTTTTAATTTACATTTCTGTTCTGTAAGATAATTTCTTGGTTTGGATAACATTTCACTATTCAAGTTAATCAGCTGAGTGAGGATGTTGCTGATTAATGTGCTAATGATGCACACATAGGCCTTGGCCCCAATCTCCTACGTCATATGTCAGACGATAATCAGAGGGGATTCTCATAGTGGACCACATGATTATTGGATAACTGTTTCGCATTCAAATCTACATGATGTGTTCTTCAAATGCTGTAATGGCCTACTTTTCAGACAAGGCTTTTATGTGTAGATGTTACGCTTATCTTGACAACAAGTTTTATGCAACCTAATCTGTATCCTTTTTTTAAACAGATTTCAACTTTAACACTTGGAGTAAATGGATTTTATCAAGCTCTAAAATAAACTGTAATTATGTTGTCAGTTTTGATGTAATAGCTGCCATGTTCGCCCCTGATTCTTTCTTGAAATGTTTCACAGTAGCTTAAATCTGGTGGTAGCTTTTGCGCGCCCAACTGATGGAGACAAGCTGTTTGTCTACCTGACACAGGTCAGCCTGTTCTCCACATTGTGTTTTGCTGCACAACATTAATCAGAGAGCACAGCAGCATCTGCTGCAACACTTTCAATAACCCATAGACTCTCTGTAACCAATTAGCTGAAGATAATCAAAACATATTTGAATTCAATTATTTAATAGTATGCTTAAGTGATCAACATTTCTTGAACACTACATTAAAACATCTTAAAGTTAATGTTCAGAAAATATACATCAGCATCCTGCTTATTGATTTAAAGATTACATTGCAAGAAAATAAATCAGTAATTCTCAGAGGAAAGAGCGGTAATTATCAAGCTTTCATATCGGACTTATAACCGTGCCACAAAAATATTCAACCATATGCTTTTTTCTTTGCAGCTTTGCTACTCCAGAGAGAAAATGCCCACTGAATCAAACCATATAAACAGCTGGTAACCGGCAGCACCATCATATGTTAGCAGTCAGTATTGCATAATAACATAGCCTGTGCAAGAATAAGTTACATTAGTGCCACAGTGTGATTAACTGTACAGATAAAAGGACAGGGACAAAGAGGATTTGGTGAGTTACCTCCCAAGGGGCTCAATTGACACAAAAACAGAAATTAAATATATGTTTTTCATATTTTAAGTACAGAATATCTTTTTCTGTCAGTTGTTTTTGTCCAAAAATCTGTCTAAGAGCTCTTTGACCCAGACTGAACGCCTCATTAAGAGGACTTCACACAGTAAACACATCTCTATTCTTTACATATTTTAATAAATTAAAGAGATCTCATTATTCTGCTCTTCTTTCTGCTGAACATGCATGACTTCTCCCAGTTGCCTGATGAGTTTTGTCACTGTCTCCACGTCCTGGTTGGCCCTTTCCAGCAGCTCATAGCGGAGACTGGAGATGTCCTGTTTGATTTCTTTCAGCTCACCTGTGGGACATGTTTTGTAATTTAGTGATCGACAAAAAAAAAAAAATGTATCCAGAAAGCCTGTAGAACTCACCTTCATTAATTTCGTCATTTTCTTTATCTCGCTGTGCTTTTACTATGTATCTTTTCACGAGGCGATTCATTATACTCTGCAATTAAGAATTGAGTAAGCAATGATTGTTCCTTAAAAAAGGAGTATAAATAAAGCAAGAACAGCTGACAACTTGTTTCAGTGAGCATTTTAGATGTGAATTACTTAAATACATTACTAACATTGCATTATTGATGTTTACATCTCTAAGTGTAAGACTGTACAGTTCAGTTATTCACAGGATAATCAGAAGTAGGAAATGAAAAGTGTTTTACTTGGTGACGGGTTGGACAAAGCGATGCATCCACACTCAGATCTGACTGCTGCCTCAACTAAGAATAAAAACAAAAAAGAAGAAGCACTGTCAACACTTGAACCATGCCTTTAAGTTACACTTTTAAAGCAGCAATCTATAAATGCGACACAAGAGGGCTCTGCAGAGCTGTTTTAAAGAATATAGGTCAACTTTAAAGGGACACTCTTATGCTAATTTGAAGGGTTTCCTAATTGTGTGCCTCTAATGTGACGTGTTCAAATGTTCACAAACGTCTTTATTTTTCTAATTCTGCCTTTGCTGCATTTAGAAAACCTATTTTCACCCTCTGTCTGAAACCAGAGCCCAGTCTGCTCTGATTACTAAGCTGACAGGGTCTCTTGTAATTTGTCAACTGATTAGAGATGTCCAGCACCTTAGCCTATCACATACAATGTGTTTGAACGCTAGCCAATAGACATGTTATGTAGTGATGTCACTATGTCACTGGAAGTAAACAAAGGAGTCCAATTGAGGCGTTTCAGGCAGGTGGGGAGTGTGTCGGAGTGAACTTTGGGATTGTAGCCTTTGCAGACCATTAACATGCACAAAAACCTATATAACACACTACAGGAAAGGCCAGACAGTAAAAAGTGTCTCTAGCCATTCATTTACATTCAACAAAATGTATTTGGTCATTCTGTTGCATGCAATATTATTATTACCTTATTAAGCTCCATCTCATCATTTGAATTTCCTTTGCCTTTAGGTCCATCCCAAAGAAGTTCCCTTATCCCAAGCAAGAGGGAAAGGACAGACTTGGGGCTGGGTACGAGGTTGAAGGGCACGGACAGGGTGCCGCCGTGCTCAAAGTACGAGAACCACAGCTTAGCTCTGGCAAACTTCCACTCAACATCAGAATCATCCTGCACCAGAGAAGAAGAGGTAGGAGCCAGTTTAAACATTTAATGAGCAACAAAAATGTGCAATTTGATTTTCTTCGTGTTAATGGAAAGCATTGAAACCATTACGTATACAAAACTATACGGAATATGGCACAAATTAGTAAATCTTAACATTTATTGACATTTCTGTCAAAATGCTCAATATCACTAGATACTTTATGGATGGTTATGACTTACCTCAATTTCTTGGAAGGAGCTGTTGAACATGGCAATGAGCATATTCAGCAACACAATCACCATGATGATGTTGTACACCCCATACAGAACATAGCCAATATTCTCAATGAATTTATGGTCGATGTTGATGACCACTGATTTTACTTCTGACAAGCCAAAGATGGCCCAAAATAGCGTTTTAAAACTCTCTTCGAGCCTAGGAAAGAATAGAAATGGGAAGTTTAGTGCAACGGGATGGTCCTAAATCATATCAATTCAACACAGATTTAATCTCATGGCACAAATGATGTGAAATATCAACGTTTTCAAGGCTTTTTCAGGCAATTGCATTACTGTCTATAGTTGATACTTACGTTGTGAAGGCATCATTGTATTTGGCCCCGAGGTAGTACGAGTACAGATTGAACATTCCCACCATGAAAGCCAGAAAGACTGTTATGAAGATCACCATGAACTTAAAGAGGTCTTTAACTGTTCTTCCTAAAGAGATCTGTAAAGGCCCAAAGCTCTCGTTGGCAGGTAGGATGTATGCAATGCGAGAGAAACTCAGCACAACTGCAATTGCATAGAGGCCTTCAGAGATAAGCTGTGGGTCCGATGGCATCCAGTTGATACGAGCTGAAAATAAACATGCCATATACTTTCACTCCATTTAGATTGTTGTTCCTGTGTATACTCATAGGGTTAAGATTTAGCCTGGGTTTGTTGATACTGGAAATCGCGCAATCATGACTGATGTTAATTAACACATCTTAGTGGAAAAAGCATTTTTCAAATGATTTTCCCTGTCCTATGTCTCAAAATTGGTGGAGAAAACTAAAACGTTAGATATCCACCTATCAGATCAACACCTTAATTAAATAAATATATATAAATATGGAGTAAGAACAAATGCAACCTACATTTTAAGTCTGAATCAGTAAATCCTCTTTAATACAATATTTCCTGTAGTGCTATTTATACATTTAGATTGTGCTGGTGTTGGAGATATTGGCCGTAGAGATGTTTGCCTTCTCTCATATAATTGAACTCGATGGTACTCGGCTGTGGTGTTTAAAGCAATAGAAAA